GCACAGTCTGGAGGTTCCAGTGCTCCACATCCTTGCCAACGTTTGTCATTGTCTGTGTTTTTTATTATAGCCATTCTAGTGGGTGTGAAATGGAATCTAGTTGTAATTTTGTGTTTCCCTGATGATCAATAGGTTGAGCATCTTTTCATATGTTTATTATTCATTTAAGTTTTCTCTTTTTGAAGTACTCTTTCAAGACTTTGCCCATTTTTTGTTATTTTTCTTATTGTTTTATAGTAGTTTTTATAATCTGGATACAAGTTCTTTAGGCTATGTATTGAAAATATATTCTCCCAATCTGTACTTTGCCTTTTCTCTCTTTTATTAGTGCCTTTGATAAACAAAATTTTTTTTAAATGTTTGATGTACAACCTTTTCTGAAGAGTGCATTTATATGAACAGTATATTTGCGTCTTGAGAAATATTTACCTGCCCTAAGACCGTGAAAATATTGCTGTTTTCTTCTAATAGCTTCACTGTTTTACTTTTTAACCTTTAGTTCTACGCCCCAGTTTGAATTCATCTTTGTGGATGGTACGACACAGGGGTGAATATTCCTGTTTTGTTTTGTTTTCTTACAGATATCCAACTACTTCAACACTGCTTACTGAAAGACCATCCTTTCCCTCCTGAACTGCAGTGGGATCTTTTCCCTAAACCAAGTGACCACATATGTACTGTTTCTGGACTCTTCTGTTCTGCTGACCTAGCCACCCGTCCTGCAGCATGTCTTGATCGTTGCAGCTTTGCAGTAAGCTCTGTTATACAGCAGTGTGAGACCTCCAATTTTTTTCTTCTTCAGAGTTGTGATTCCAGGTCTTTTAAATTTATATATCAAATTTAGAATCTGCTTGCCAATGTCTATAAAAAAAGTCTGTTGGGATTTTGATAGGGACTGCATCGAATCTATAGATCAATTATGGAAGAACTAAGATCCATACTAGGTCTTCTGCTTCATGAAAATGGTATCTCTCTCCATTTAAGCCTCTTTTATTTTTTCTCAGCAGTGTTTTGTAGTTTTCAGAGTAGAAATTTTACATAACTTTCATTAGATTTATTCCTAGGTATTTGAAATTTTTGGTGGTCTATATGTAAATGGTGTTTTTTAAAGTTTCATTTTCCAATTGTTCATTGCTAGTGTATAGAAACAGTTTATTGTTGTGTATTTACCTTCTATCTAGAGACTGACAAATTCACTAATTCTAATAGTTTGTAGAGTCTCTTGGACTTTCCACATCACAATTAAAGCATCTACAAATAAAGACAGTCTTCCTTCCCTTTTTTCCCAATCTTTAAAACTTTTATTTCTTTTTATTGTCTTTTGTATTTGAGGTATTAGCCAGCGCTTTGCTGAACAGAAGTGGTGCTAGTAGACATCGTTTTGTCCTTGAATTCAGTGGGAAATGTTCAATATCTCATCATTACATAGATTGTTAGTAGATTTCTGATGGAACCCTTTATCAGATTAGGGGAAATTCCATTCTATTGAGAGTTTATATCATGAAGTTGAATTTTTTTGTTTTGTTTTTGTGAGATCTGCTAAAATCTGCCAATCCTTTTTTTTTTTTTTTTTTGCTGAGGAAGATTGGCCCTGGGCTAACATTCGTGCCCATCTTCCTCTACTTTATATGGGACGCTGCCACAGCATGGCTTGGCAAGCAGTGCATCGGTGCACACCCGGGATCTGAACCAGCGAACCCTAGTCTGCCACAGCAGAGCGTGTGCACTTAACTGCTTGTGCCACCAGGCCAGCCCCATGAAGTTGAATTTTATCAAGTGCTTTTTCTGCATCTATTAAGATGATTACATGGGCTTTTCTCCTTTATTACATGACTAGTTGAATTACATTCACTGATTTTAGAACAGTAAACCAATCTTTGTATTCCCAGAATAAACCCAACTTGGTCATGGTTTATTAGTCTTTCTATATATTGCTGGACTTGATTTGATAATACCTTATTTAGTACATACTCTCGTCTCTATGTCCACAACAGATAATCTAAAAATGTTCTTTTCTTATAATATCATTGCTTTGGGATCAAAGTTATGCTGGCTTCATAAAATGAGTTAGAATATGTTCCCTATTTCTCAATTTTCTGGAAGAGTTTGTGTAGAATTAGTTTTATTTCTTTCTTAAATATTTGGAAGAATTTACCTGTGAAGCCATCTGGGTCTGGGCTTTTCTTCATGGGAAAATTATTAATTAAAGACTTAATTTCTTTTTTTTTTGTTGTTTATTGCAGTAACATTGGTTTATAACATTGTATAAATTTCAGGTTGTACATCATTATACTTCTATTTCTGCATAGATTACATCATGTTCACCACCCTAATACTAATTACAACCCATCACCACACACATGTGCCGAATTATCCCTTTCACCCTCCTCCCTCCCCCCTTGCCCTCTGGTAACCACCAATCCAATCTCTGTCTCTATGTGTTTGTTTATTGTTGTTATTATCTACTACTTAATGAAGGAAATCATATAGTATTTGACCTTCTCCCTCTGACTTATTTCACTTTGCATAATACCCTCACAATTGGGAGAAGATATTTGCAAACCATACATCTGATAAGGGGTTAATCTCCAAAATATATAAAGAACTCATGCATCTCAACAACAAAAAAACTAACAACTCAATTAAAAAATGGGCAAAAGACGTGAACAGACATTTCTCCAAAGAAGATATACAGATGGCCAACAGACACATGAAAAGATGTACAAAATCATTAACTATCAGGGAAATGCAAATCAAAACTACAATGAGATATCACCTCACGCCCGTCAGAATGGCTATAATTAACAAGACAGGAAACAACATGTGTTGGAGAGGATGTGGAGAGAAGGGAACTCTCACACACTGCTGGTGGGAGTGCAAACTGGTGCAGCCACTATGGAAAACAGTATGGAGATTCCTTAAAAAATCAAGGATAGAACTACCATATGATCCAGCTATTCCACTGCTGGGTATTTATCCAAAGAACTTGAAAACACCAATGCATAAAGATACATGCACCCCTGTGTTCATTGCAGCGTTATTCACAATAGCCAAGACACAATTTCTTTAGTAGCTATAGGACTACTCAGATTTTCTATTTCTTGTAGTGTCAATTTTGGTAAGTTGTACTTGTTCAAGGAATATGCCCATTTCATCTAAGTTTCAAGTTTATTGGCATATGCCGTTCATAATGTACTTTTATTGTCATTTGAATATCTGTAAGAGCTGTAGTATTTCTCCTTTTACATTTTTTATATTGGGGACTTAAAGTCTCTTTTTCCCTTCATCAGTACTGCTAGCAGTTTATCAATTTATCAACTTTGACTTTTGAATGTGTTGATATTCTTTATTGATTTTACTTCAGAGATTCTTGCTCTATGATTTCCTTCATTCTATTTTCTTGGAGTTGAATTTGCTGTTCTTTTCTTTCTTCTTGAGATGGAAGCTAAGATGTCTGATTTTCAGCGTTTCTTCTTTCTGTCTAAAATTTGTTTTGCTCTAAGGACTGATCTAATTGCCACCCACAAATTTTGAAACGTGGTCTATTGTGATAAAGGTGTGTTGTGTCCCCTTGAAAAGTACAGTGTTCTGCCACTGCTAAAAGACTGTATTCTGTCAGTTCAGTTCCAGTGGGCTAACTGCGTGGTCCCGGCCTTGTGTCTCCTGACCCATTTCGTGTCCACACGCTCCACCACTTGCTGAGACGGGTGTGCTATCCTGACTACAACTGTGGACTTATCTGTGTCTCCTTTTACTTTTGATAACGTTTTCCTTTTACACATTTTAAAGTTTCATTATTAAGTGCATTCCTATTGACTTGACCCCTTTATTATTAAGAACTGTCCCCACTTGTCTTTAGTATTACTTCTTGCCTTCACGTCTTTGACATTAATACCTCCAGACCAGCTTTCCTTTGGTTAGTGTCTGGATGATGCATCTTTTTCCATCCTTTCACGTTCAATCTAACTGTGTCCTCACAATTGAGATGTATCTCTAGGAAACACCCCTGTTGCTGTTGCTGTTGCTGACTCCAGCCTGATATCTTAGCTTACTTGGTCTTTGGCCTCCTCACCACACAGGTTCACAGTCTGGCAAACGTCTTGAGGGGCAGACTGGTTGTGTGTTGCACCCCCTCCCTGCAGCGAGTTTTATCTCTAAGTACAGTGGCTCTGGAGATTTCGCTCTGCCTTTCCATCCCCACTCCCTGGCCTCCCACATTACCCCAGAGCTCAAGGAAGAGTGTACGGGGCAAACTGGCCTACGTTTGGGGCTCCTCTAGCTTCCCAGCTGTCATGCCACTGAGAGACGCCAGAACGCCCACTCACTCTCCAACCCCCAGTGGAGTCTCTTTGCTCAGGGAAGCCCAACCCCCAGCCCACACCCAGGGTCAGTAAATGGCCCCCAGGGAAGAAAGTGGCTGGCAATCGTCAGCTTGCCTGGAAAGGGCTCTTTCCCCTTCCCTCTGAAATTGTAGTTCTTCTAGACCTCACAGCTTCCACAGCCCTCCAATCTTTAAGATTATGACTGCTTACAATTTATGTTTTTCCCTAGTTGTAGCAACAGGATGGCTGGCCTGTCCAGACTTACCACATCTTACTGGAGGGGTAAGTCTTCTCCTGGTCTATTAATTAAATAAATAAATAAATGCCCAGCGCTTTGATATGCTATCCCAGTCCTTTCTTACAACAACCCTGCCTCTTATCTCGTCACCTCATTTTACAGATGAGAAACTTGTGCTTCTGAGGGTTTGGTGATCTACCAAGGCTCACACACCTGGTGAGGAGAGACCTGCGCCCAAAGCCTACTTCCACACCTCGAACGGCAGGGACTCTGCTGGGAGCCCACAGCCTAGAACGATGCCTGGAGCACAGCCGGACCTTAATACCCCGCCTTTACTGCTCCGGAGCAGGAAGGAAGGATGCGTGCGTGCAGGCAAGAGTGTGTGCGAGCAGAAAACGGTGCGCACACGGGAGCAGGGCAGGGGCGCGGGAGGCACGTACCAGCCTGCGGATGTCGCGCTCGCACTCGCGCTTGATGCGGTGCACCTCGTCCTGGTGCGCCTGGTAGGCGGCGCGCAGGTCGGCCGCCTTGGTCTTGTCGGCCTGCATGCAGTTGCTGAGCGCCTCCTCGGCCTGCTTGCGCGCCGCCTTGAGCTCCAGGATCTCCTGCTGCAGCCGCAGGCGCTCGCCGTCGAAGGCCCTGCGCGCCTCCTCGCGCGCCTCGGCCAGCAGCGCCGTCTTGACCTTGTCGGCCGCGCCATCGCGCAGCACGGTCAGCGTGGCCTGCAGGCGCTGCAGCTCGCCCTCCTTGATCTTGGCCGTGCGCGCCGCCTCCTGCTCGTGCTGCCGGATGAGCACCTCGCGCAGCGCCTGCAGCTCCTTGGTCTTCTCCTCGTGCAGCTTGGCCCTGAGCTCCGAGATGTAGGCCGTGTGCCGCCGCTGCTCCTGCTCGCGCTCCAGCTTGGCCTCCTGCAGCCGCTCGCGCAGTTTGCCCACCTGCGGCGGAGAGAGTCGGTCAGGGCCAGGGCCAGGGCTGGGGGAAAGGGCCATGCTGACACCACCTCCCCACGCCCCTTCGTGTGTGACAGGCCCGAGACCCTCCCCAGATCCCACACTCCAGTTTCCCTCCCACCACCCCCACAGTCCTGATGCTCATCAGCCCCACCCAGAATCCTTCCTACTGTTGTCTTGAGCTTTTCCCCAGAGGTAGAAAAACATCTGAAGACGTTGGAGAGGAGAGTCAAGGCTTTGACGTCCCCTCCAATTCAGAGATTCACGAGGAAAGACAATTTATCAGTCACAAGACACACGGGCAGAAATCATCTCTCACCAAAGCTGAACAACTTTTAAACTAGAAATACATCTCCAGTGCCCATGCATTGGACTCTGGAGTTAGAGGAGACGGAGCAGGTGGAGGGAGAGAGCGGCAGGGGGAGGGGGTGCCATCATGGTGGAGCTGCGGCCCCGCCTGGCCCCGGGGGGGCCAGTGCATCCCCCACATCAACCTCTCACAGCCCCAGCAAGGTAAGTCTCTGTTTCACCACAAGGCAGGCGAGGCTCAGAGGTGCTCCAGTGACCTGCCCGGGCTGAGGGGCTGCCAAAGGGCAGAGCTAGGCTTCACCCCAGGCGCCTGGCCCCAGAGCCGGGGGCCCACAGATGCCAGGCTGCCAACCCGCCTGAGAGTATTCCTCTAATCGGCAAACAATTTAAAACATGATTTGTAAAATGTGCCAAGGGAGTATTTTCTTAAAACACTCCAAAATGCTTTATTCAGCCTTTTCATTTCAAATATCGCATAATACACACATCCACAGGAACCCTTTACAGTCCATTTGTTTTCTGAATAATCTCAGTCTCCGAAGAACCGGAACAAATCGTCTCTCATGGACAAGCTGCTTCGTGGAAGACGGGAACATACTCCCCAGACCACACTGTCTAAAGCACACCAACATGCTGAAATTAATTTTAGGTGAGTTTTACAGTGTCGCCTGGGTGTTGATAAATCCTTACTTACAAGAGCAGGGAAAGAAGCAAATAAAACCAACCAGGCAAAGACACAAGATCAACATCTCCTTATATCAAACACTCGCATCACAGAACTGAAACAAGGACCGGTCAGTCTCAGGCCACCTCGCCCAAGGGCTGGAATCTTCTCCTAAAAGAAGCTGGAGTCTCTTCGTAAAGGACTGAGTACTAGGAAGCCAGATGTTAAATATGTAACCTGATTTCCCCAGCGAGGGACTAAACGCTCCAGGCATCGTCCTGTCTAGGAGGCAACACTGTCCTGACTTTCCGGGTCAGTGTTGACAGTGATTGGGAGGCAGAAGGATGGGAACCAGTCACACCCTGAATCTGCACCGAAGAGTGCATTTCCCTTGGCAAATTATGGAACCTCAAGATGGTTAGTGCTACGTGTCAACTTGGCAGAGTCACAGTACCAGGTCATTTGACCAAACACCAATCTAGGTGTTGCTGTGAAGGTGCTTTTTCAGATGGGATTAACATTTAAATCAGTAGACCTTGAGTAAAGCAGTAAATCAGTAGACCCTCCATAATGTGGGTGGGCCTCATCCAATCAGTTGAAGGCCTTAAGAGAAAAGACTGAGGCTCCCCGATGAGGAAGGAATTCAGCCTCCAGACTGCCTTCAGACTCAAGACTGCAAGATCAGCTCTTGCTAGGATTTCCAGCCTGCCTGCCCCACAAATTTCAGATTTGTCAGCCTCCGTAATCATGTGAGCCAACTCCTTAACTATATATATCAATCTCTCCTCTCTCTCTCTCTATACATGTTGGTCCTGTTCCTCTCTGCATAACCCTGACTGTACCACCTCCTGGAGCTTCCTGTTCCTCTCCTGGGAAGCAGGGATGTCAGCAGCCGCCCCTGGAGGACTGTTGGGAGGAGGAGAGCTGAAAGTCGACGATGGATACAGGGAGTCTGTGGCTGCAGTCCTGAGTTTGCACATCTGTGTGAGCAAGGCCCCGTGTGACTGAGCACAGGTAGAAAAGAAGGGAGGAATGAGGACAGGGTGAGCAGAGGTGTGTGCAAGGCAGCCTGGGAGAGGTCGGGCCTGCTCCCTAGGAGGGGCAGAGGGGCCAGCTGGACAGGCCAGGTGACACCCGTGTGTAGGGTGGGGATGCTAACAGAGGATGGGGCTGGGGCAGAAGGCCCTGCTGGGTCCCCCCGGCTCTGCCCAGAGGAGCCAAGGGTCGAGCCCGGGCGTCATGACCCAAGTGTAGCAGAGCAATGCTGGGGCAGGCCCCAGGGTGCACAGGGCACCCCTCCTTACTCCATCGAGCTGAGCAGGTCCACAAAAGCGACCCGGCACTTTACTCGCCAGACGCCTCCAAGCTACTCCCTAAGTCCAGCGGTACAGCCGGAGAGCGGGGCCCATACCAGCCGCTCCCCAGTTTTTGGGCTCTAAATGCAGCAGGAGCAAAATGACTGAGACCGGGAACACACCCTCGGCAGAAGGGGGCTGGTGTGGAGAACTCTCGGGAGCCAGGACCACCCGCTGCTCCAACTAGAAGAGTGAAGTCAGCCTCCACCTGTCTCCTCCCGTCACACTCCTCATCGATCCATGAGCGCTGTGTCTATTTCCAGCCTGGACCACTTCTCCCCACTCCCTGAGACCAGCCTGGTCCAGGCGCCCAGCAGCAGCCCTCCAGCAGACTAGCAATCACCTCCAACCAATCATCGCGCTGCTTCTGCCCCTGTGTACTCGTCCCTTCCATCCTCAGCAGCCAGCACAGCCTCTGAAAGCACACTTTAGATCTTTTCCTCCCATTGCTCAAGCCCTCCAAACCAGGGGGCACAGGCTAACTCTTCTGAGACCACTGTACGTGTAGAGTGTTGAACAAGTAAGCAAGCGGATGGGGGACGGTGGGAGCCAGGTGCTCACTGCCGGCGTGGAGGACATGATCAGTGGGGGCGGGAGGCCAGAAGGCTCCAGGCGGTACTGGCTCAGTGCTGGGGACACTGGTAAGAACTCACGTTCCACTTAACAGAGATGTTCCATTCAGAATTATTTACAGATCCGTGTACATACACGGGTTAGTACACACACACATTCCCTTGCTCTGTCAGCTGAGGCCTAGAAACAAGGAAACCCCAGCAACCGCGAGCACGCCCAGTGCCCAGATCTTGGTTTCCAACGCCATTCTCCAAGGAAAGGAACCAGGGCTCCTTGGAGAAATGGCTAGTTCTAGGAGCGGGGCAGTGAATATACAAGACGAGCCTGGAGCATCTTAGAGTGCCAGAAAGTAAGGGCCTGCTGGAGAATAAACTTGTAAATAAATCCCACAATGATGGGACATGTCAAGGGGACACAGGAGCCAACTGAAAGAGGACTGACCCTTGCTGGTGGCTGTCCTGCCTCATCCCTGACCACTCAGCTCAGGCCACAACGCTGTCTGCTGCACCTTGGACACGCTGACACCTTGCCACCTCCCCGCCTTCACTTGAGTTGATCCCTCTGCCTGGAAAGCTCTGGCCAGCTCTCTGCAGAGTCTGCCCTCCACCCACACTCAGCGCCTCTCTGCTGCTGACCCCCTCCCAAAAGAGCTACCCCGACTCCAACCACAGCTTTTCTCCATCCCCTTCTCCTGCTTTGCTTCTTATCAGCACTTTTCACTCCCGAATAAACATCATATGTTAATATCCTGGCGTTCATTCCCGACGGCCCCAATTACATACAAGCTCCAGGAGAGGGACTGGATCTCCACGCCATCGCAGCTTCTGCGATACAGCATGGCACACAACAGGTGCTCAATAACTATCTGTGGACTGAGCGAAGGAAAAAATAGAAGGATGATCGGCCTGGCCGGTTTGTAAATAATATATGACAGCATCCACACATCGGCAGCAACGGCAGCCATGGGGCTGGGGAGCACTGGCCCTTCCCCAGGCAGGTCCCCTCTGCCTGGGACCCTGTGCCTTCACCTTCCCTGCACTCTCCTGTATGGCTAGGAAGCCTTCCCTGACTGGGTCCGGGGTCCCCTGGGCTCCCAGAGCCCTGCACGATTCTCTCCATCGCCACACAGATCACACTCAAATTTCAACCCTCCAGCCCCACCCCCTGAGGCCAGCAGGCCCTGGAGGCAGGTCTGTAGGCAGTTTAGTCCCCGGCCCAGCGTGGAGGCTGCAAGAATGGATTAATCACCAGCTGGTGAGTGGTGGGCAGTGGCTGGAACCCTCACAGCCCCACTCTGGCCCGTGTGCTAACCACTGCCCTCTCTGCCCCCCTGTACCCCAGACCATGGGCCTCAGCAAGTCGGGAACTTTGGCCCAGTGGCCTTGGCACCCCTGACTGCTGCTCAGGATGCTCACGGGTGTGGCTGCACCCTTGGGACTGTGTCAACACTGTTCCCTTTCTCACCACTAGCAAAATCCTCAGGAGCCAGCTCCAAACAGCCATGAAGCCTTCTTAGGCCCCTCTCACCACTGTATGGTTTCCTAAAGTCTCCGATGCAACATGCCAGGTATACTGCCACACTGCTAGCTCCCTGAGAGCCTGTGCACCCCCCTGCCTGAGGCGGGCTGTTTCTGAGTCACTTCCAACAGCCCATCACTTAGCCCGGGCCCGGAGCACAGCTGCAGGGGGCTGGCTGAGTGAGCGAATGAACCAACAGATACATTGACCACATTCCCTCATCCCATGGTGTTCAAAAGGGATCCTTTGCTAAAATAATGACACTTTAAATGTGACATCAACAGTTATCATGAGAGCATATAAAAATAACATTTAAATGCAACTGTAAAGTTTACATTTATGTTTTTCATACCAGCCAATAAGCACATTGCTGAATTCTCTGAGAACAGAAATTCTCCCTGTGGTGACATGGGTAAAGCCCTCCAGAAGGGCCACGAGGGTGGCTGGACTGAGAAAATGGGCAGCCAGGGAGCGTGCATGTGGAGGCAGGGAGGCGGCCTGGTGACGGGGGAAGCACAGGTGGGGTTCCCACAGGCCTGGCTTCCCACCCAGTGCCACCACCTGCCACTGTGCTGACCTGCTGTTATGGGCTGAATCTTGTCCCCCCCAAATTCCTACGTGGAAGTCCTAACCCCCAGGACATCAGAATGTGACTGTAGTTGGAGACATGGTCTTTAAAGAGGTCATTGAGTTAAAATGAGGTCACTACAATGGGCCCTGATCCAATCTCACTGGTGCCCGTATAAGAAGAGGAGATTAGGACACAGACACGCTCAGAGGGACGATCATGTGAGGACACAGGGAGAGGATGGCCGTCTACAAGCCAAGGAGAGAGACCTCAGGAGAAACCAACCTGCCCACACCTTGATCCCAGACTTCCAGCCTCCAGGGCTGTGAGAGAACACATTTCTGCTGTCTAAGGCCCCAGTCTGTGTGATGGCAGCCCCAGCAAGCTCCTACATCTGGGCAAGTCACCTCTCCTCCTCAACCCTCGGTTTGCTCACGCATAAAGTAGGGAAAGCCACATTGACCTCACAGGTCACAGCCATGGTCAGGAGGCCCTCTCGGGCACCTGGTGTGGCCTGCGTAGTAGACACACAATAAATGTCAGCCAACTACTGAGTGACTGCGTGCAACAGGAGGCATCTAAGCCCTGTATGCTACTGTCTCCCTCATTCCTCAAACAACCCAGAGAGGCACACACATCAGAGGTCCCCGTTTAACAGATGGGGAAACTGAGGCACGGGGCCATTACATGGCTTGCCTCAAGGTGAGTTAGGCGGTGGAGGTGGGATGGAGCCCTGGCAGAATGACCTTGGCTGTGTGGCTTCCCCCACAACCACAGCTGCTGTCGCTACTTGCTGGCCAGCCCAGCGGTGCCGCTGCCAGCCTGAGGGATCCCGGCTGGCGAATCCCACCTGAGCTGGGCAGGGTGCGGACAGGCCAGCATCAGCAACAACCGTATTAGAAGAGGTCAGCTGCACCAGCCCTAGAATCCTGAGTGTCTGGGGAGGGGAGGGAGAGGGCACGTCTGTCTGCAAGCTCCAGGAGCCCGGCCTTCATCGCCCCACGTCAGGGACTCTGTGTCCTGAGCTGGTGTCACTGAGGGCCCAAGCCCCAGCCCCGTCCCCACCCGGGAGCTGGACCCCACCCAGAAGCACTCCAGCTGCTGCTGAGTCCCAGCTCTCAACAAGACACCTGCTGCAATTCCCCCCGCAGGCCCTCCCATCCCTCCATGTGCTGCGGGCGGGCGGGCGGGCGAGGCCGGAGGATGCCTTCAGGGCTTGGGGCATAACCTCCCCCCAAACCAGGCCAGACCCTCAGCTCAGGCCAGCGGGAGCAAGCCCAAATCTCCATCCCCTTGCTCTTCTCACAAGGATGGCGCCTCCTCTCTGGGCTCGCAGAACCCACCCCACCCCACCACCGTCCCCCTGCAGCCTGCTTTGCCTTCAAACCATACAGGTCAGAACCAACAACCAACAAAAAGGACTGTGGCAGTGCCCGGGCACCACACACCGACAGGCTTTTTATTGTTACATTACACTGGATCTTTACGACAACCTTCAACGGGGCAGTTATTATGACGCCACGTTTCAAATGAGAAAAGAGAGGTTCCGAGACTTCATGTCACTTGTCCAAGGTCTTGAAGCCAGATCTGCATGATTAGGAAGCCTGGGCTCCTCCCACTGTGATGCGCTGCCCATCACGGCTGCACTTTAATTGGACGCCTACAGTATGCCCAGCACGCAACCAGGCATGGTACTGATCGGCTCATACCTGCCCTGCGAGAGCAAAGCTGCTGCCATCACAGAGCCAGCCTCGTTCCAAACTCTTTACGTACATTTCTGTCCTAACTCCTGACCACAGGCCCATTGCGTGGTACTATTATGCCCCCATCTTGCAGGTGAGGGGAACCATGGCTCAGAGAGTTAAGTAGCTGGTCCAAGGTCACAGTGAGACACGGCGGGGCCAGGATTCGCACACAGGCAGTCTCTGTACCACTGATGTTATACCCATTGTTATACCCATTTTAATGAGGGGAAAGCTGAGGCTCAGAGAAGTGGAGTGCCCACCCCCACCCCAGCCTGGGAACACGCCCTCCACACCTACCTCAGGGGTAATACTGTCCACCCGAGAACTCCCAGCCCACCCAGGAACTCCCAGCCCACCCCTCTGTTGAGCAGAGAGCCCCACGCCCCTCGCACCTTGCTCTTTTCCTGCTGGAACTCAATCTGAATGCTGGTCAACTTGGCCCGCAGCTCCTCATTGGCCATTTGCACCGCGTCCGTCTCCATCTCGGGCTTCTCGCCCTTGCTCCGGCCTTTCTTAGACATGCTTCCTCTCGGGTTGAGACGCCGAGAACCCGCGTTCACGCCTTCCAGCCAGCAGGGGCCGCTACCAGCTCCGCCGTGCTAACCAGTCGCGCTGGGCTCAGCTGGTCCTCCGCGTAAACCACCATCACTTGGGATCCTGGGGCAGGAGGGAAGCCGGGTTAGCAGAGAGAGAGAGAGAGGGAGAGGGGCTGGAGTCCCCCTTGCCTGGGGCACTCAAACACAACGGCAGCCAGGCCTCCCTCCCCAGGCCAGGCACCTGCCTCACCCCGAGGATGCCCCGCCTTTCACAACACTGACCTAGCGCTTCTCAGACTGGAGCCATGTCAGAATCACTCTGGCTTGTTAAGGCCAGAGTCCTGGGCCCACCCCCAGAGAATCTGATTTGCATTTCTCACGAACTCCCAGGTGATGTTTCCAGGTGACCACACCCTGAGTAGCTCCATCCGGTCCAGTCCTGCTCTCATCAAGATGAGACTATACCACCTAAGCAACCCATAGACTATGGCCTGCAAACGTCAGGGAGCCTCAGTCATTCAGGGTCTTTGTTCCAAAAGGCAGGTCTCTGGGGGAGCACAGAGCCCGAAGCTTGAAGCAGTATGGGGGGCCAGGGGATCTGGATGTTCCATCCGCCCACCCAGGTGATTCTGGAGCAGGGTCTGAGGACTGCACTCTGAAAAATGGGTTTTCAGACTGCATCAAGGTTAGTGGTTCCTTCCCCTACCCCCAGACTAGCACAGCACTGGCCACTGCAAGCTGCTAGCTTCACGCCCAGTGGCGGCACCTAAGCCAGCCCGGGGAGCAGTGAAGGCGCCTGGAGGAGGGGACAGCCAAGCACAGCGCCCTGCCTGGCCGGGCCCGAGCTGGTCGCCTGGTCGACGGGGGTGCCCGGATAAGCTAATAGCCCCTCCAGCACTCACATTCCCCTGGGGGACCCCCGGACCTTCAATTTGGTGAGGCTGCTCTCACAGCCCACAGGGTGGCGAAGCCCTAAAAGAACACCTGGAGTAACAGCTGCACCACTGCTAGCTGGATGCTTCACCTGTGTCCCCTCTCATTAATCAGCACAACCGCCCTACAGGGTAGGTGATGGGGCCCAGTGTCACAGAGGAGCACACCGAGGCACACAGAGGATGAGTGCTGGCGACGGGCTCACAGCCAAAGAGAGGAAACAGTATTAACCGGGACAAGGTGCACAGCTGGACGCAGAGAGCCAGGCCCAAACCCAGACTCCCAGCTCCGAGCACTACGCTAACCAAACCCAGGCTGCACTGCCTCTGTGAGCCCATCTCTGGGCCCCCTGCCCCCTCGCTCTGCCTTATCATTGTTTTCCATTTGACAAACCACACATTTACTGACTTCTTGTCTGCTTCGCCTACACTAGGATGTGAGTCCCAAGCAAGCAGAGCCTGTGTCTGTTTTGTTCCTCGCTGTGTCCCCTGTGCCTGGAACAGAGCCCAGCATGCAGGAGGCGCTCCATAAACATTTGCTGAATGAGTGAATGAGTGGGTGGCAAGAGAAAACAGTTACGAAGCACCTATTATGGGCCAAGTCCTGTGATGAGACCTGGGGAGCATATAATCCTTGCAGCACCTGGAGAGGTAGTTATAATTATCAGGCTCATCTTTGAGATGAGGACATCGAGGCACAGAGAGGTTAAGTAAGCTGCCAAAGGCCACACAGCTAGTAAACGGTGGCGCTGCAGTTAGATCACCTTGGGCCTTGGCAGAGAATGCAGAGAAAAAGAGAACATTCCATTGTGGAGGAATGCCAGCCTTTGGAGGTCGAGCAGAAAAGATTAAACCAGCAAGGAAGACCATAACAAGAAGCATGTGGATAGAAGAAGAAAGGAGAGAACCAGGGAAGCCCAGAGAAGAAAGTGCTTCTAGAAGAAGGAAGGAGTCAAGAGGGGGCAGCTCCTGAGAGGTCAAGATGAGGGCAGGAAACTGGCCAGCGGATTCAGAGGCATGGGGTCAGTGGCCTCAGCAGGAGCCGCTTTGTGGGCTGGGAGCTGGGGGCCAGGCGGAGCCGACTGGGGAAATGGGCGCAGGGAGCTGGGCTGTCTCTTCAGTGCCAGCCTGTCTGGCGAGCTGCAGACACTCAATGGCCTTCAGCGAACAGAAGCCCAGAGTGACCTGCGAGCCCTGGGGGCACTGGGACGTCCGTCCGAACTAGCAATCTGGGGGAGCAGCGATGGAGGCCAGTTACACCTTCTTGAACAGCAGAGAACAGCGTTTTGATCCACACTCCCGCTGACCGAGTCCAGAAAGGGCCATTCCGTCTTCGGATACGGATGAGTTCCATCTGCTCTGATCTGACTTATTAGCGTGTAACCCAGAATTCACACCTCGCTTCCTGGACCTACCTGCTTTCACAACTGCGGCAGTTTTGGGAAATCGGCCCTGGGTCCTGCAGGGCACCTCCCTGCACCCCAGTGAGCAGGAAGCACCCCTCAGACATAGCACCCCAAAAGGGGTGGTGTTCTCCTTTTCCATCCTGCGGCGCCACGACACCACTTCCCGGAATGCACTGTAAGGAGCTCACCAGAGATCAGGTCTCTGCGTAAACACTCGGATGCTCTTCCCCAAAACACGACGCTCAGCCACAGGGACGGTTAAGTAAAGGCCATCACAGCCGTGACAGCAAACTCCTCACGGAGAAGGGTGAATGTCACAGAGCGAAAGGGCAGAGTCAAGGAACAATACAATCTGTGATCTCAGTTTTCTGAAATATAATATATACTCGTTCATTTTTTTCACTGGGTCACACGATTTTTTGAGCACCTACTAGGCGCCAGGCCCTGCGCCCTGGGGACACAGCGGTGATGACCAGAGAGCCACGCCTCCCGAATGTTAGCAGTGACTGCCTGAGTGGTGCCATGATAGGCGATAGCTCTTTTCTCCTTTGTACTCTTCCAGAGAAATCGAAATTTTTATTTCTACTACTGCTTTACAGAAAAAATGACACCATTTTTCTTAAAGGAAGAGGAGCAAGTTTCAGAAAAACGTCTGGATCTGGCTGGGAAGGATTCAAGAGAGAAGCTGACGAGAGAGCAATGGCCCATGCCGGGAGCGGCCCGGCAGGCTGCCCTCGCGGCTGACCACCTCTCCGGGCACAAGCGGACGCGGCGCCAGCTCCACCCGACGCTCTGGGGCTGCCTGCAGGGAGCTGCTCCCGAGAGCAAAGGACACGGCCACGCCCCCAGGACACAGCTGACCGTTCTGCAGGACAGCCTTGTCACCCCAGCCAAGGGCTGTCCTTCAGAGCAAGGCGGACCTGGGGTTGAGTCCCAGCTCATGGCCCTGGCTGGGTGGCTCCAGGCAAGTCACTGATGTTCTCTACAACACGGTTTTCTCATGTGCTCAGTGGGACCCGCGGCTCTACTTCACAGGGATCCATTAACCGAAGTGCTTGGCAGGGTGCCTGGCCCAGTGAAGATGTTCACCAAACCAAATGAAGCTGAAGTTATCAGGAGTAATGCCAGCCTCCCAACAGGCTCCATGAAGGTCAAGGTGACACGTGCTAGGACCGGGCAGCGTTGGAGGCCATGGTGTCACAGCTTCTCAGTGCCCAAGTACAACCTGAAGGCTCATTTCCTTCCCCAGAAGCCCCTCCCACGGCCACTGAAGATGCTAGGGAGGAGGGAGGCAGCAGGTGAGGAAGCCTGGGCTTCAGGGAGGCAAAGCGTCTGCCCAAGGCAGCACAGCAGGCTGGACGCAGGCGGTGGGACCAGACTGCTCCTCAGCAAGGCCCTGCAATGGCAGCCCAGCTGCAGCTGGGGGCAGGGGTGGGAGAGGAAGCCCAGCCCATGGGGAGGCCGCATCCCAGGAGCATCTACAGGGTCATGAGAAGAGTGGCTGGGAAAGCCTTAGGCACCAGTCCCAGGCTCTGCATTTTTACCAGACCCCCTGGCCCAGCTGGACTCCAAGGCCCCCTGGCCAGGCCTTCAAGAGCAGGAGGGCCAAGGGGCAGAGACAGACGGGAGTAGGACAGCCCAGACACCCAGAAGGCAGGCCACGCCTGGGGATTGCCCAGTTTCTTTTCCTGGCCACAGCACCCCCTGGAAAAGGACATTCATGCCATCCTCTCATTAGAACCTCAGCACACACGTTCTCCACTTTACAGATGAGGAAACCAAGGCCCCAAGGGGCAATGTCACAGAGCTGTGACTCTCCTGCTTAGAAACCATTAGAGGCTCAGGCTCTGAAGAAAGCCCCGACCCCTGAAGGGGTGGAGGCCCTACGGCATCTGACTCACATCGATGGCCGGCACCACCACCTCTCACCCACCTCACACTCCATTCTGGCACACTCCCCAGCAGGCCACGGTGACTGTGGTTGCCCAATGGAGAAAGCCAATCTCCCACCCTCTTTCATGGCCAACTCCCATTTCGCCTCCTCCAGGAAGCCTCCCCTGATGCCCTCCATATTGGTCGGGCACCTCCTCTGAGCTCCCACAACCGCAGGCTGAGAGTTGCCCTCTATGTTTGTTCATCTGTCAGCCCCCACCTGACTGTCAGCCCCTCAAGAGCAGGACCTTGACCTCTGTCTTTGTCTGCCTCACTCTGTGCTCAGCCCAAAGTCCCAGCTCGGTCTTTCTGGGATGAATAAATTCCAAGGAGCTAACGCCAAGCCTACTGCTCTCCACCCCCACCCTCAACATCTGCCAGACAGGGCCTCAATAAATGATGAACAGGATGCAGGAGGGGAAGGTACCCAAAGTGCTGGGCCAGGTCAAACTCGGGGCTCACAGTGGGCCCCAGGCAGCTGGCCTCCTGCCAGGGACACACCCATGGCAGGTCCAGCCAGAGGCTCAGAGTACCACACGGCCCCACAATCAGGCCCCACAGCCACTGACCCCCACAAAGGCCTGGCTCCTGGGAGCAACAGCCTGCTACTGTCTTTACAGAGCATTCGGGCTGCTGAAGCAGAGATGCAGAGGAGGAGATGGTGGCCGGGAGATGGCCAGAGACAGGTGGATGGGAGAGATGTGCCGGCAGTTGAGCCAACAGGACTTGCTCACAGGGGGCGGGCATTCGCTGGGCTTGAACTATATGCCAGACTCTGCCTGGGCCCGGTTCACTCTCAACCTGACACCACCCACCACTATCAGCCGACGCGCTGGGCCCCAAGGCCTCAT